GACTGTCTCTTCAGACTTGGTCTCTTAGGATCATCCACAGGTACCTATACTGTAGATAGGTCTTAGTCATCAGGTCTACTCCACGTCCTTGTTGCCTGCTTAGACTCTTGGCACTCTTAGGTGAGCAGACTTAGTCAGCCTGTGTTGCCCTAACAGGTAGCAGAGTGGTGACACTTGATGCCAACAATTTTGCCGGATGTGGAGGACATGATCAATGGCATTGCAGCAGCCATGCTGACAGCAATGGACTGGGAAGGCACCATTGACCTGACTTTGCCACTGCCAGAGCCTGCGCCCATCACTGTCAAGCTGCCATCCTCCCCTGCCTGACTTCTGCACCTGGAGGTGCTGGACAAGACATGGCCCAGGTTGTGGACTTTTCATGAAGTCATGCACAACATTGCCCACATCTGTAGCTATACAGACAAGGCTACACCGGGCCACATTCTTTGGGGGGAAGCCTTCAAGCAGGTGCATGGTTTTGAGGGCAAGTACAAAACTTGGTATGAACATGCCAAGTTGTTGGAGTCCACTGGCCTGAAGAAGCTCATCAAAAGGTTCAGCAAATGGCCAGGGAGTACATGGGCAAGGTTCCAGTTGTGTGCCCAGAGGAAGAATGATAGATGTCTGAAGGATGGCAAGGTGGAAATGAACGAGCTGGCTTGGTGGGTGGAGTCAGATGAAGAGGGAGAGTAAGAGAAGGGCCATGAACTGTAGTCATTGGTGAATTGACTGTGTAGAAATACAATAGACAGGCTTGGAGGTGATGTCCTCCAAGTCCTTTGTTTTTCTTGTTTTTTGTGTAGTAGTATCAATTAATAATTACATGACATCTAGATAGAGCACTAACTAATTGTATCTATTGGACTTATGCATTTGGTGTTAGGCAGCACTGGCTATTGAATTGCTGAGCAATGCACCCTGCCCTGCCTGGTTGATGCAGAACAGGATTAAATTACTAAGCTTAGGACCCTGACATCTGTATCCAGAGTCCATAGTCCAGACGTGCCCCAAAACCTGGATGCCCTCGTGACAGGGTAGTGTCACAGCCACGAAAAAGGGCCCAAATGAGACTTACCAATTTGGGGTAGGTCGGGAGGCAAACCTGTACAGGGGCTGAGCTAGGGTCCTATATGTCCCGGACTCTGGGACCCTGACAGGCACCGCTCCGGGGCCCGAGCCAACACGTGGTGCCACGTGAGCCACGTGCTTTTCGCGCGTTCATATTTGCTTCAGTATAGTTAATAATGATCGGCTCCGAGCACGATATGATTACGGTGACCGGTCAGTAATCATAAATGCCATCCTCACCTTCCATGGGATCGAAGACAGGCGGAATTTTCCCTCCAGTCGGATTTTCCCCGTCTCTTTCTCCCCTTCCGCTACCAACGGCCCTCTACATGCATGTCAAGCTGCCCTTCCTCAGCCTTAGCCATACTACAACTCCTACGACACCAAAGCCCGATCTCTAGTCTCTCAAGCGGTCTCCCGACCCGCCGACGCCGTACCGCTAATCTCGTCAAAGGTTTCAAGTACTAGTGGTCAGATGAAGCCAGAACGTTTATGGAGAGCGCCTTCAACTGGAGACGCGGGCATTCTCATTTTTGTGTCGTATTCCCTGGATCCGTCCCTTCCAGCAGGCAACTAAGCGCAGGGCATGAACTGTGTCTCTGGTGATCATTGTGACTTTCCCTCTTGTTCTCCAGAAAGTCTGGCCTGTGGAACAAAGACCGATTGGGCTAGTAGTGAGGAGAATGTGATACCGGTGACATCCATTACCCCGAGCCTGAGGGGCTGCACGGACCTCATCATCTTACTCTGGCCCTATAGATCAGTGATGATACACACACTGGCACCACACAAAGGCGTTTAAGCACACAGCGATCAGTACACTACTGCACCGTCCTTTTATCGACTCTATACAATGACCGCATGTGTTCTTTTGGAACGGGCTTATCTAGTACAATGACAATCCACACGCTGTGTCATACATAGGAATCCGCCTGAGCTGTAACACCATTGCAGCTGTATCCACGAGGCAACCGGGCACGATTGGTGAGCTGGGAGGTTAGGGAGGACTCGTTGGCGAAGATCATTGGAATAGATATCGGCGTTGTGGCTTACTCTTTTCCGCTGACTTAACAGCTGTCCATCCGGAAAAAAAACGATGATTAGCAAGCATTAGTAGCCGTAAACTGATTCTACCCTATCATCTGTGCGGTTCTCCATCACCTTCCCCATCCCCCCGTCCTGCCAATTCCACCTATATTTACCGCATATCAGGATACCGACCTCTGCTCCCAGTTTCCTCTCTATGTCAAGTTAATCTTGCAGTGTCTCTGAGAGGACTACATAATTGTACCGCCAAAATTTTTCTGGGGCTATCACTAGTGGCCACTCAGAAATCTCCAATCTCGCCAGTGGTGCTCCAAGGGCCCGACGTCTGGTGGCGAGCGTTGTCAGATGAGAAAGATGAGATGCAGTGGCACACAGGTTTGTGGAGAGCACCTCCAGTCGGGGACAAAGGGCGGTTGGCTCTGGATTGATATTAGAATCGGAGGCTGGCAATTGGACCGCAGTCCCCAGGTATTTCAGCAATTCGGTATACGACCGTTCAATATAAGGGTCGTCCAGCGTGAAGTAAAACACATTCAAGGACTCCAATGCCGAAAAGAAAGGCAAGATATCGTGAACCATGTATCGTTCCGTTGTAGGGAGAGACAGAGACCGTATTTGGGGAAGTATGTTTTCTTGGCCTGCTGAAGCCTCCAGGAAGGCCTTAATGTCTGCTAAGAAATTTCTCGTTTCTCCGTCCAGGAATTCTGTCGCTCTGTGTACATCCTCGATCGATAGGTGTACGAGGTTGGGCGCAGCGAGATATGTAAATGGTAGTCCACAGTCACCCTCAAGTCGACACCAAAGGCTCCGTAGCCCCCACAAAAATATCCTCTCAACTGGATCAAAACGCGGCCTTGGCTCGGGGAGTTCCCTATCGGGGCGGCCGTCGCGAGAAACGCAGTAAGTGAGCCTCAGGTCTTCAAGCTGGGGAGCACTCTTGAGGAGGGCCGCTAAGCGTGGGTTGGGCTGCTCCCTCCATGACCAAAACAGGGACAAGTTGAGTTGACGACAATTTTCCAAGACTGGACAAACCAACGGAACAGAACGAGGAAGGAATACGTTCACAAGCGTAATTCGCTGAAGGTGCGGGAAGGCCAATGCCAGCAAAGGCTCCACATTGACACTTGCAGGGTCGTTAGTCCCCGAGTTGTAACAGCTTTGGGCTGGACGAATACAGAGGGTACGTAGATTACTTTGTGCATGCCGTGATAAGGTGTAGATAGCAGGGTGTTCACTGTGCTACAGCGAGGAGCTAGGGTCTGACCACTGACAAGGACTCAGGTTATGCCGAGTATGGGTTGGGGTTAACAAACCCTACCCTCGACCAAATAAGGAAATCGACCAGTCTCGACCACGAAGGGGAATCCACCGTCTTCTCCTATTGTGAGGACCTATAATAACAGTTGTTGACAGTAGTTGATTAACACCCCCGCGTCATCCAGGTTGGATAGCACAGACAGGGCAGTATTTTGACTGGATGCAAGAGATGAATATTGGATGTACTTCTAACTGCGTCGTCTGTACACCCGGAATGCTTCCGTTTGCCTCTGCTTAGTCAGCAGTCCCTAGAGGCACGTGGGTAGTGCGGACGCATCGCTAACTAGCTACATCTATCATGCCGAACACATCGTAATATCGTGTCTGTCCAACCAGACTGCCAATTGGGGTTGATGACAAGTGACAGTTCGGTAATGCGATCGGAAGGAAGAGCGAGATACTCCTGTAGCGCCGGCTCTTGGTCGCCCAATTTATCAAGCTTCATGACGATGCTGAGGGGATATGATTTTGCACGGCCAACTGCATGCGTGAAGAATGAACCAGCGTATGTTGATATTAGAAAACGTGAGTGAACGTGAGACGATCTCGGATCCACGGTAAATGCTGAAGTCGAAAATGTTCCGAACGTCCATAACGACGCCGTGTCAACAGCGACAGCGCGCCAGCGAAGTGAAACGTGCGAAACGTGGCGAGCAAAAGTAGCCTTGGTCGTCCCGTCTTCAAGAGTATCGTATCCTTGCTGGAAGATAAGGCGAAGAAGATCATCGGTCAATCTTGAGGTCGTTGAAAGCACGTTGTTGCGATGCTCGTTCAGTTCATGGAGTTTGCGCTCCAATGTCGTCTCGAGGTCGTGTTGTTCTGCGGCAGTCTTGTCTTCATTGACAGAGAGAAAGGTCGCGTCCGGTATGAAGCGAGATGGTCCAATTTGTGCGAGAATGTTGGTCAGCTGCTAGGAGAGCATGATTGCTTGAGAGAGCAAGCCAGCGCGGTTAACGGCGCCCTGATCACTTCTCATGATGTGTGTCTTCGATGTTGAAGAAGATGTAAAGCGAGATAAAATGATGAAAGTGGTTGAGCCGCTATGATATGGATCGGATACCAAGTCAAGGTTGCGGATGCAACATTGAACGAAATAACAGTCACATGACGGAGACATTTTTTCTCCAGTCACCAATTTGCCACCTTTCAAGAAAAGTATCGTTGATCTAGTGTGTATAATGCATTTGGTGTCAATATGTATTCTTCGAGCGCAAAACAGTCCTGTACAAGTCCATCACTCCCCCTCTTCTTAGAGTACCTCACCAACTTGGAATGCCCACCGCCTCCGAGAACGGTCCCACCTGCCCTTCAGCACTCACCCCCCTCACCCTCAGCCACGCCTTCTCCCCCTCCCTTAGGCCCAAATCAGGAAGAGGTAACATAAGCTTGCCTTTCATGCAGCAGTCTACGGCCGAAGGATGTACAAGCGTTTCGCTTCTGTCAGAATGGACTTCGTACGTCTTCGACCAAGCCGAACCGCGCCATGCCAGACCCCACGATCCTCCCGGGAGCTGGACAGCCCAAGCCTCGGGTGGCCGCACCGGGACTGGGTGTTGGCCGCACTTCAAGCCCGCAAAATCGTGTGCCGCTTGCCTAACAGCGTTGATGACATCGATCTCCCTGGCGTCCCATTCTTCACGGGCTTCTTGCGTTGTCCACCCGGGAGCGTGATATGCCCAGATTTCGTCGTCTTCTCCGTGTGTGTCGAATCCCCCATCCTGGGCATGACCCCGCATAGCCCAAACCAGAGCACCAGCAGCACCGGCCTTCCTCGCGCTCAGGAAGAAAGCGTCAAACTCGTGCGCTTCAGGAAAGAACCCAAACTCGCCCGCGATGAAGACTTTTCCATGCTTCTGTGCGAAAGAGACGTCTTTTGGAAGCCGATAGGCGTCGCCGGAACCGTAGTAGTGGTAGCTGAGGATAGAGATCGGAGAATTAGGAACGAGAACTTCGGCAGGCCAGCATGACTTTTGGTTGTCATTTCGCGCGAAGGAGCCTGGGGTTTGTCAGCGACGTCCTCGGCATGGGGAACAACATACCATCCATGATGAGAGTATTTGGGGCCAATTGCTTGATATGGTTCCCGATCTCGACCGTCCACGCTCCTGGAGCAGGGCGGTTCCCCTCCGTACTCCCGTTCATCTCGTTCCCTGTTTCCCAGCACAATATGGTTGGATCGTCGCAGTACCGCACACCAGTGAGGGTATTGACCCGATTGAGGAGATCGGTAATGAGGAGCTGCGTGAAAGTCAATTGGCATGGAGAAGGTGGGGTAGAGGTTTGCATGAACGTACCTTGAAAACGTCGATCATGCGCCCGCTTGTCCACCAGTGTGCACCAGGTTCGACCCAGTTACACAGATCGGTAAAGTTTCCCACCTTTTCAGGTATTAGCGGCTTCGTGTCTGCGTGCCCCTCAAAGTCTGCTAACCCAGTTCGTGTCTCCTCCATAGTCTTGGTTTATGATCGGTATGATAAGTCGGACATCATCTACGATCATCGTCATATGATTCTTACACGAGACATAACGAGTGAAGACGCACACTTGGCTGCCAGTGCCAGTGCAGAATCGTACCTCCTCATCGCGCCTTCGTCCCATTTCCACCGCCCGGCTTGCCCATCCCATCCGATAATATTCGCTTCCCCTTGTCCAATCCTCTTACTCACCAACTGAAGAGTATACGTCCTTGCGACTGGATTTGGCCATCCAAGTGCAAGGGTAGAGAGCAGGTCTTCTTGCTCATATGGGGTGGACGTGAGCAGTGTGGGGAGGTTGAACGACGCGAACCGGAAAGGACGGTTTTGGAGATATAGACTGCCTGAGCGGGCTGTGATGTAGGCCTTTCCTGTTGAGGATATCATAGGTTGCTGGGTGGTGGTTAGAGTCTGAGGATCGTCTGTTAGGGGAGTGCTCGTTATGCAGCCCATTGAGGAGAGAAATGCAGTGATAGGGTGATGACGTCGATCAAAGGGTCGCTATAAGCAGCATATTGTTGGGGATTACGGCACCCTTAATTCCTCGTTTCCCAATAACCACATTGTCTATTCCACACTTGTACAACTCTTCACCATACCGTTTATGCCATTTCGTTGTTGTCCAATAGATCAATGGCGGAAGTGTCCATGACCAACCATCTCTCAACCAACCCATCTGACAACCCTTTTCCAGCGTTCTCTCCGTCCGACCTCCCTCTCGCTACCGATTGAACTGTATTTGCCACATTTCAAACTTCCCACCTCTGCTGACAACCGTCTTTCAACTTCAAGCTGCTCTTTCAATGTGTCTGTCACACAGACTTGTCAACGTCTCCGCTTGTCAAAGTCTCCGGAATCTGGGTCCTGAGTCGGCGAGTGAATCCGGATACAACTTGTACATGTGTTTCAGCGTACATATTTTTCATTATCAGGTATGTACATGAGTAGTCTCTGATCACTCGCTCTGAGGAAGCCGTGACGCGTGCCCTGTACTCCATTATATCTCCTTCCAACTTCCTCCATCTTGCCCATCCCATCGATATTTCCCACACACTAAGCTCCCCACCTCAGCCGCCAACAGCCTTTCCAGGCTAAGCTGTTGTTCCGCCGTTTCTGCTATAACTCCAAAAGAAGTGCGCTCAAAAGAATCCTGCGGCAGGTACTGCCACTGATCCCACTCTGCAATAGCCATCCTTGCAATGGGTATACCAGCCGCCTGCCGTTTCACCGCTAGCGAAGTCAGGAGTGGAAGGAAGTACAAGTTGGGAGGAAGATTTATGGAGAGGGTTTGTAGGTGCAGAAAAGGGAGGTGTTCAACCTCTTCACAAATTTCTTGGTTCCTGCCATGATCGAAAGTTGCTCCCAGGCTGTGCATTATTTGAGCAATCTTGAACGAACGGAACTGCACATCCTGCACAGAAAAATGCAGCTTCAGGCATTTCACCGTAGACAGAAGGGGGAAGAGGTCAGATAGCGGCAGGTTTTCTTCTCCTTCAGTGATAAAAAGAGAGTTTATCTTGGGCAGTTCACCGTCTTCTCCTGCCGACGCTTGCAGTAATGCAATGACATTCGCTACCACCTCTTGCGCGCGTTGCTCTAAAAACCTGTCGTTGAACACATCCGTTGACTGGATGGATAGGCGAGTTAGGTTAGGAGCGGTAATGTACCGAAAAAGGGGGGTCGTGTCTGGGATCCTCCACTCGACAGAAGAAACTCGACAGCTCTGTGAGGACTACTATATGGGGGATACTGATCTCGAGATTACCGAAATCATCGCCACAGTACATGAGCTTCAACTCATTAAGTTGGGGGGTGCTTTGGAGAAGTGCCGTAACGGGAGCGGCCAAGTATTGGGAGCCATTACATAGATAAAGGTGAAGTTTTCGGCAGTGTTCGAGAGCCAACCAGCGTCGCGGCCCAGAAGGAGGAAGGAGCATGTCGGTTAACTTGAGCTCGTGAAGGCGTGGGAGCCTGATTGATAGCAGAGATTCTGACATCTGTTGCGTGATCACTGGGAAGTAGTTGTTGTAGTCTTCGACCTTGACCTCGACGTGTAATGTGCGTAGAATATTTTGGGCGCGTTCGATGCATTGCAAGGCTGTCTGAATCGAATCAGATCTGGTAGGCTCAATAATAAGATCAAGATGAGAAACGCGGTCCCGAGACGTCGCGAAATACTCATTGAGCATCTCGTGAGAGCCCCGATAGGGGAGCTTGACCAGGACGTTAAGGAGACAGCCTTTGGCTCTGTCAAGTAGACAGGCGTTGAACGGGTCTTTGTTGATCATCTTGGGGTAACATGGGTGAGATGATTTGACGACAAGATCCCTTGAAGCAGAGAACATTCCGTGAGTCCATAGCGGTGCTGTATGGATAGCGAGAGTACGCCAACGGAGTGAAACGTGCGAAACGTGGCGAGCAAACGTAGCCTTCTGTGTCCGTTCTTCCAGAGTATCGTACCCTTGCTGGAAGATAAGGCGAAGAAGATCATCGGTCAATCTTGAGGTCGTTGAAAGGACCGCGTTTCTTCTTTCGATCAACGCTGAGAATTTGCGTTGCAGGATGCTCTCGAGGTCGTGCAGTTCTGAGGTAGTCTTGTCTTCGCCAACAGAATATGTCGCATCTGGGATGGTGCGAGCCGGCCCGATTCGCGCGAGGACGCTATTGAGTTGCTGGCAGAGATCGATTGCCTCAGAGAATAAGCCCACTCGATCAGCCGATGTGTTGAGATCGTCGTGCATGGTGCAGCTGTATGATACGATGAAGGAAAGGCTCAGGTCAGGGTAGTGAGAGTCCGGATAAATGACCAAGTATATTTCTTTCGGATATCGTCGAAAGTAGGATTGGAGGTGTTGGTAGGTGAAGAGGACAAGCAATGTTTGAATTTTGTAGCGACCAACAGTCACCTTTCGGAAACAAAAATGTCAATAATCCCGCCTTCGAGTTGTCACCTTAAATAAGTACTTGTCGAACCCTGGGAATGAGAAAGATGAAGAGCACATTACACATGTATGTTCAATGACCGCTTTTTCTCCATGTATGCTCTGCATCATGGGCAACCAAGCTGCAAGCTCTGTTTTTGACCGAGACAGTGGATGCTGGGCAATCCCATACAAGTGCTTCTGTTGTCCACCTCACACTGCCAGTACAGATCCCTGTGTTGTCCACCTGGTACAGATGCACAGGCAAATGGCATGGCATTAGCACATGGGCATCAAGGACAGCCAGTCAGATGACACAATGTTCCAATCTGACACAGTGCTCACTTTGAATTCTACTCAACAGCAGCTCTAGCAACCTAAGGATGCAAGCAATCTTATCGAGTTTTTAAGTTCTGCTGAGCCTTCTGCTACCTATGCATCAGTACATTGGCTATACATAGCAGGGACCTCAGATATGGGCTATATGGGGTCTGTAGTGGCAGTGCTTCTATAGACCCTGACCTTGTCTATGGAGACAGACAGGGTGCTATGGGAATGCACTGCAACATTGAAAAGTGCTTCTTTGAAGCACCCCAGACTAGCCCCTGAGGTCTGTCAATCAAGCACATGGAGTGCTATGTTGGGGTTGATATGCAACCCCATGTTTCATGGGTAAGAGGTGCTGTTTAAAAGCATTTTATTGAATGTTTCAGCCCATTAGTAAATATTATAGATAGTTAACAACATTTATTAATAAAATTAATAATACAAAAAAGCATTTTTAAAAGCACTTGAACTCCTTCTATAATGATTAGGCTGGAAATTCAAACAAATGCTATGGGACATCTTGTAATAGACAACACATTTGCATTCATCTGCCTCTCCAAAGCTCCTTGAAATCCTCATAGAACTTCACCCAGTCCCATACTAGCAACACTCTGGTTAAACCACAGCATATATGCACCTGATAAGTCATTCTCAGCAGGTGTAGGTGTCACATTTGCTGTCCTCCAAGTGGAGGACAGCAAAGGAAAGGAAGGGGAAGCAGTTGCTTAAAGGGACATCACAGCACAAGGGGAGGAGTGGTAGAGGAAGGGAGAGGAGGTGGTGGTAGACATGAGAGAGACAGATGAGGCAAAGGTGATAGTGACAGACTTAGACAAATTGGCCTTGACATGCCTTGTCAAGACCCTTAGTGGCTGTGCAAGTGCTCCGGGTGCTTAATTGAGGCCCAAAACTCCTCATTAGGAAAAGGCATTCAACAGAGCTAAAAAAAGCACTTCTGGGGCAGATCCAAAAGTGCTTCATTTAAGCCCTTTTGGAGAAACTGCCCCTGAAGTGCTTGAATTATATTTATAAGCACTAGGGGTCCTATATAGTGGACTGTATTCCATGTCCAGTGATGCTATGAATGAATTGCAAACAACAGTTCATACACATAGGAGATGGTTAACATCAACATACCCTCCAAATTAGCTTAGAATATCCAGAGAGATGTCCACTGACTGGTAACAACTTGTGTTAGTGTTGGGTAAGATCCTTGCTATTGCCCATTCAGCTTGTTGGAAGGTTGGTATGTAAGCACAGCTTAGTACTAGGGTCCTCAGCAGCCCTGCTGGGACTGCCAGCACACCCCATTATTCCTGTCCCATGTTCTTGCTGATCACACATAAATACTGCTTATTGCTAGCTCACCACACCACTCCTGAGCAAGTCCTACAAGCTGAGCCTGTAGCTTCTTCTGCATGCCCCATGCATTGCTCTATCCTTACTAGTACATCCCCTGCACTACCTAATTTCTATGTGCAGAAGCTCTATGTGACACCATGTCTCCCAATGTGCATCTGACTGTGCTTGGTGGTAGACTCTCTGCCTGTGGGCATTGTATGCCAGGTCATCATGATGAGCTATTGAACTTCATTCAGTACATTGGCATGATTTCATTTGGATGTGGATGATGATACTTGGGTGTGGTCAGATATTTTGGGGATTCTCTGAGAGCAGTCCAATAAAAGCTGCCTCATGTTGGGCTCCAATATGATCCAACCCAAGAGGTGTCTGAAATATTGGGTGTCCAAATATATCAGTCTGATGGGAGGTAGGTGAGAACTTGCTGCTGAAAGAGGAGGGGGAAAGTCAGTGAAGGTGTGCAGGTACGAAAGTTGGTCAGTCAGTCAGTATGTCAGAATCAGCCAGGTGCTGTGCTATCTGATGTTGGTACACAGAAATCAGAGGTTGGTCTCAGAATCAGTCAAGTCAAGCAAAGCAAAGCTTCCTGCCAGTATAGAAAAATTGGATCCATATAAAGTGCTCTCAGAGGAGGGGAAGATAAGCTAAGTATAGTAGTTTCTGGTAGCTTCTTATACTAACTAGCCTAGGTTGTGTGAAACACTCCCCTTATCTCCAGGTACATTGCCAGGGCTGGGGTTTATAAGCCAAATATTCGGAGAAGTGGAGCTTGTCACTGGGGCTATTGTACTTGTCAGTGAGGCCCATCATACTCATTGCAAGGGTCTGTAGTGCCATGCAATGGTCAATAGGGCTCCCAATAACCATGGGAATGTCAGCCTGACACACCCTACTGAAGGTGGGGTTGTTCAGCAGGTGAGGGAGCAAGATCACAGTGCTGATAAGGCAAGGTCAGAGTGAGCATCAAAAGGTGAGCAGGAGCTGAGCATACCAATGTGAGGGCCAGAGGGCAGGAGGCAGGGATTGTGCTAACAAGGCAATATTAGTATGAGGATGTTCACATATGTAGAGAGCAGACATACAACTTTGTGCCATGGGGGGTGACATGTGAGGCAGCACTGACAATGCATAGTCAGTACAAGATAATCAATCAGGGAAGGAGCAGATGCACTACAGTATTCTTGTCTGGGGAAGGAGGTGCAGGGCAGCACTGAGAATGCTGACCCAATGCACTCCAAGCAGCATAGTCACAGCATAGTCAATGTACATGTCTTTAGTCCATGTGCAACTAAGATCAGATGCAAGACCAATGCCAAACTGGGCCCAGCTGTGCAGGCAGCTGCCCACAATGGCCCACCTACACCCTCTCCTCTCCATCCCTCCTCTGCACTCCCAGTCATCCACACTCTCACCCTTGGCCATGGTGTGAGCAGGCTCATGCATCCTCTCTCTCCTTACCCATCCTCTTCCTCATCTGCTGGTGATCAGATGTGTCCCTGCTCAGCATGAGGGATGAGACTAGTGCTTCAGGAAGCTGGAAGATAGAGCATGGCAAAGTCCTTGTACAGCATGGCAATGAAGGCATGGAGCAAGTCTCTTGGGGCAAGTCACCCTGACATGTGCGACACAATGGCTAAGCTGGCATCAACATATTGGCACCAAGGCATGATGGGGGGGAAGCTTCAAACTGTGGTGTTGGAGGCCAGCCAGTAGGTGCTCAGCAAGGGTCATCTGGACATACTCAGCACAATGGCTACCCTGGCAGTGACATGCATGAGCCAGTGATGATGGAGTGATTCAGTGACCCTGCTGAAAGAGGTGCTAAAGGCAAAGCAAGGACATGCACCTCAGAAGCTAAGACCAATGGATCCCTTTGCAAGCCCAATGCAAGGATTCATGAATAGTGGGCAATTAAGCCTGCAGGCCAGCATGGGCAAGGAGACTGAATGAGAGTTGATACTTTTTTTGTGCCACACATAAACAATCCATTCCAACAATTAAGTCTATAGTAGCAATGACACATAGAGTCATGATGACTTGCTTTGCATAGGCATATATGCTGCTGACCTATGCCCTTGCTCCTTCAAAGTTGACATCAGGTATGCTTGATCAGCATGCATGCAATCTCCACAGCCTCCAGGAACTCCTTGGGCAGATCTGCAAAGATGTGTAGTCAGTCTTTCAGGACACAATGGCTGCTTGTTGGATGTTACTGGGGTTCATTCCCAAAAACAGGCACAAGTTGGCCACAATATCAGCCATCTGGAAGGCTGCTTTTAGCATCATTATTTGGAAATGGTCTTGTCAGCCTAACAGCCTCATCAGCTCTATGGCCAGTTACCTCCTTCGATGGTGTGGACCTCAACTCATGCTGATGCATGACTTTAAGGTCATTCAGAGCCTTCTGGCTCTGCAGCACATCAATTCTTCTGGCAAACAGAGTCCTGGAGCACAATGAAGTTGGTCAGATGCTCTCTTCCACACACATGCCAATGTGAGCTGAGAGATGGACTGGGGCAACAGACTCTTGACCTCATATAACTGGACAGCCTTCTGGAGATCTTTCACAATTCCATGCTCATGGCTCAATGCTTCTTGTATCTGGGTGATGGTGGTCTTCCAGAGGCTGGGTTCTGGCCAGTCTGGGCTTTGTAGGGCATTTTGTAGCAAAGCCCACATTTCCTGGGCTCTCTCCCCTATCTTCTAGTCAAAACATGTGGCTGTTGCTCTATATTCAAAGTTAATTGGGAAGCTAAACTGAACACCAATAATTTCTGGAGATGAATGAACACACACTCCAGGATGGCCTGTCCTCTTTCCATCATGGCATGTTTGGCCTCATCAATAGCCCTCAGTTCAAGCAACCTGAGATAAAGCACAGCAGCCTCATGTTCTGGGGTTGCATTTCAGTGTAAGTGGTTCTGCAGCTGCTCACACACCAGGTCCTTTGTAACCATTGGGAAATGTACATGGCATGTTCTCAGGTGTGGTCAGGACACCCTCAAGGCCTGTGCCTGGATGCCCTGATGCTCTCTGATAGTGGCACCTCAAATGCCATTGCATTAAGTCAGCCTGTCTCAAATGGCAGGCACACTCTGTGCCTGCATGGGGGCAGTATATCATATTCCTTTGATCCCATGTCATGCCCTGTGGAACTCCAAATCATGGTGAACAATGCTCATGCCAGTCATGACTCTCTGTCATGGACT